TGCTCCGGAGGCTCAAATCTTGCACCAGTCAATTTTTTTGGCCATCTTTCTAACAAAAATTCCCAAGTTATTTTCCAAGAAACCCAAACTTTTAATTCTGAAGGGTAAGCAAGTTCAAAATAAAGAAATCTGGCATCATGGTTATTCGACATCAATGGACAACAATAACCAGGCTCTGTGAACTGACACCTGTTGTTGTTTTTAGCTTGTAGAATCTGTTCTGAATAGAGTACCGAAGTGAATACGTCACGCGCACAATTAATGTGTAAAAGGCATGAGCGCGTGAACCAGCGCGTGAACCAACACGCGCGCGTGCTCCATTCGTTTGCACTGCACTTTCTGGTTCACAGTGACGTCACACTTCGGTACTCTATGGGTGTCTGTAACTGTGATGATACCACACTTGGTTTACATGTACATTTGTGATTTCTGTGGGGCCGGCAGTTGCCCATGATCCACAGATAGAGCTGTGTAGGAAAGGGGCATGCATGTAAACAAAGTGTGGCGTGATCAATACAGAGGTCTATTGGCCCGTGGCCTGGTTATCGTAGATAACCATTCCTATAGAAACCCAATTACTTGCAAATGTCTCAAGTCTGTAGCTGGGCTTGTGTTGCAGCTTGCTGGCATCACGTCTGACAGGCCAGATTAACCCGTCTTGGGTCAAGCAGTGTGTGACCAACCTGCTGCATCATCAGCTACTGGAGATCAACACAGAGGGTCGACAACCACACTGTAATGTGGCTGAGGGAGTTCGACTCATTGATCTAGAGATACCTGCATCACTCAATGGTGAGCCCAAGATCCTGGCCTTTTCTTCAAATTTTAAGTCATCTGGAGTTCCACAGCGTTTGGAACACTGATTCTTGAAGCCCAACAAACATTCTTCAAACTTTGGCCTGATATTATACATTAAAGTTGATTATAAACCGAATCTGACTATGAAAGTTCATATTTTAAAAACTCTAAGTAGAAACTAAGTTAACATTTTTCAGACTGGACAGGTTAATAACACACAGACTGAGCCATTTAGAATTGCCAGTGCCCAGAACATGACAGAAAATAGTACTAAACGGTCAACATGCGACTTGGTGTGCGTTGCTCAAAATTTTAAATGATGATCAAGTCCATCCTCGTCGTTTTGAAGAGAGCTGGCACTAATTTGATGCAGAAACTCAGCACTGTTTGGATTTCATTTAGCTCTGTTTCTACTTTGTGCACTACGTGCTTGCACCAAGCTTTCCTTAACATCTTTTGGGTACCACCTGTTTTCTTTCTACCCACAGGTTGTATGGTTTCCTTCATTGATCGTCTACCTGCCGCTGAGCGTACAGCTGTCAAGATAGCTTCCATTATTGGTGCCTCCTTCAACAGTGCAGTGCTGAGTCATCTTATGCCCTTGACACCTACACACAAGGTAAACCATGTTTCATGTCTCCCCGCTCCCAGCCAGCATTTTTGGATTACTTCCTCTGTCTGTTTTTGCCCAAACTGTGAGGCACTTTTTTCCTTAGGAGAGATTTTTAGTTAAATCTCTGCAAGAATGAGAAAGAGTAATATTTCCTTGCATCATCCTTTAAGCTGACATTGCAAGTGACAGTTATACGCACGCTACAAAGTTAGCGAATATTGGGGTTGGAACTTAATCTAGTAGAATGTCTGTTTACACAGTTGGCTCTCAAAATCATTGCTACATTTTGTAATTTCTACTTTGTCTTACAGGTGTTTCATATTTTCAACCTCGTTATACAATTAATAAAATGTTAAAATTTCAAAGAAAAAATTCACTTTACCTCTTTAAAGGTTATTATGATAATAATGTGTACTTAATTTGGCAAAAAGTAGAAACTTTCCAGAAAGTAGCCAAATGCACGTTTATTATTTGACACAGATGGGGGTTTCCAACTCGGAATCCAATTGACGATTTGAGTATTTTCCTCCACCAGGTTCTGGAGAGCATTGGAGGCCTCACCTCAGCTGGGGTCTTCATCTATGAGAACGGGCAGCTCCGATTCCAGTCGGTCACGCTACAGGAGACAGCCTATGGACTCCTGGTGGAAAAACAACGGCGCAAGCTGCATGAAAGATATGCCGTCTACCTTGAGCAACGTTTCCTGGGATTTGCCAAGAAAAAAAGTCAGGGTTTTTTTTATATTCATTTAATTGTTTCAACTGATTTTGTGATGATATTTTCCCCTCAACAAATTTGTGGCCAAGTTTTTATTTGGAAGGGAGTAAATTATTTTGGAAGATTTTTTGAGAGATTTTCTGATAGTTTGAAAGTTTTCAAAAATCTATCACTTTTTAACTGTAAATTTAAAACAGTACATTTTACGACATGTTGTGTCAGGATTGCAAGTTGTTTCCTCTCTTACCCTCAAAGAAATTGCAACTTATTGTTTGAAATTTCTGTTCTTTGCTTCCCGAAGTTGCCATCTTAACTTTACCTCAATATTTGGTTGAATTTCACAGAACTATGCCCACAGCATCCATTCCTTTTTCAAAAGCAATGTTCATTTTAGGTGTTTTTTTACGTAACTAAAAAATTTGCTCCTAAAACCTGTTGCATATTCAATCACATCTTATAAGGTGATGGTTGTTTATAAGTGTTTGGATTCATCTTTAAAAACGGAAAAGAAATCCCCAATTTTCAATAGTTCATTTTCCAACTTAACAGTTCTTTTCCCCAAAATACTTCATTCCAGAAATCTTGGTCCAATTTGTGCTTTTTAAAAGGCAGTTTTTGTCCACTGATACAGGCGATTCACAATGCAGTGCGCCACCAAGAGACTGTCATAGAGAAGCCTTTGCACAGTGCATTATGGGATAAGTAGTCAACAAAGTCCCATTCGCTAACTGCGCTGTGCACGGGAAACTTCAAGTTTTCCGAATGTTTGTTTATCTTGGTTTAAAATATGAAATTGCCTATTGCGAATGTGTGTTAGGTAGTCAGCATTATGCATCTGTGGGGTGGGGGGAATATCCCCAAAGTACGTACAAAGTGCACTTAATCATGGCAGCGTGTGTTGACCGTAATCTTGAAAAGTAGTCTGTATGCGGTAAACTCTTGGTGGCGCGCTGTATTTTGAATTGCCCTTATTATTCGCTAAATATAATTTCTGGTTTGGTTATGCTATTCTCAAAAACTTGAAATTTTAACAGGTTTGTTTGAAACTCTCTTCCTGGTTTAAAATTGATCATGACAAAACTGAAGTCTTCAAGCCATTTTGGTAAACATTACTTTGGTTTCCACAGAAACACTTGTATGTTTTATATATTTTATTCATTTCAGAAAAGTCATTCAGCCTAAGGAAAAAGAAGAGTCGAATGGTTCAGGAGAGGTGAGATACACGTGTGTCTGGATCAGTTCTACGTACAATTTTGTCTGCAACTTCTTTCAGAATATGTACATTACAGTAAACACGCTGTTCTTGTATGAAATGTTGACTTTGACAATCACTCAATAAACTCAGGAAACTAGGCGGTTCAGGGGAGATGACCCTGCAAGTGATCTACCCACAGCTCGTTACGCACTGGCGCAAGGCAGGGAACCAGACCAAGACTGTGGAATACCTCATCCATGCAGCAGAGTCTGCCGTGTCTCTGGGAAGCACCATGCAGGTGGGTCAACCATGCAGTTGTGCATGTGCTGCTGAACAGTCATCTGTCGACTGCTGTGATGTGATGTGCTGTGTTGTAAGGTGCTTGTGTCGTAAGCCTATTTTTATCTTATTTCATGTCTTTAAGTTTGAAGTACAATGTAACTGTATTCTGCCCCGAAACTTTCAAAAGTGGTTTCGTCATTCTTTGAGGAATACTAACACAATAGGCAATACACAAAAAAATGGATGAATCATGATTGCAGATTGAGAAAACAATTCCATATTTTTTGCCATCACTGATTTCGATGGTCATTATTCATACAAACACCTGTTAATTTTAAGGGCATTTTAGCAAGGAAAGCTTGGGTTTCTGATGGTGTGTATAACACTCCGAAAATCCTGATGCTCCGAAATGGGATTCTGTCTTTTGCAAAGTGTCCTCAGATTATGTGTATTTTGGGTAGTAATGTTTGAAGTTTATTGATTATGTTCTTTACAGGCAATCTCATTCATCTACCAAGCCAAAGGCATGCTGCCAACCCAAGACCAGGTTGTACATCTTGATGCCTTGGCTGCACAGGTATATGGGAAAAAAAGAATGCATCTTCTGGTTCTTTGACATTAAAAATGGGATGACACGATTGACATCACACATTTCAAAGCCATAGTTTATCGTGTGCAGTATCAAGTTACTTTCCACCATCAGGCTATCAAATTCAAATTGTTTAGATCTAACACCTCGTCTGTTAGTTAGACTTACTTGGTCTATTTCATTCTAGGCTACTACTAGTCTGTTCCTGACCAGAGAGAAACGGAAGCACATATCAGTAAGTACCAGCGATATCAGATGATAAAATTTATTGAGCCTTAGCAGGGCTGCCACCTCAGCTGAATTAATTCTACTGTCCTTGGCATGTTTGCCAGAAGCCTTCCTGAATCCTTTTTAACCCTCACCACTGAGCGAAACACCAATCATGCCAATGGCACTTTCTTTCATAACCTTCAATAATCATGGCCTGTGGTACTGGCAAAGACTGTTCCCTCCTTATTCAAGCAAAGCATCCTGAGTATTGCTAGGGCTAATTGATGCCCTTTGGAGACGTGTGGCCTGGTGGTTCCGGTTTGCGACTCCCAATCAGAGGATCAGCGTTCGAATCTTGTAATGGGGCTAATGTTGTGACCTTGGGCAAGTCACCTTACCCTCGCCTCTCTCTGCCCAGGACTATGAAAGGGTACCTGTGAGGGCAGAGATGGTCATTGTGGTTGATTAAACCTGGCTGTACACTCCTTGTGAAGTTGAGATAGCGAACAGGAATCTATCTGGGCCCACTGAGCACATTTAGAGTCCATTGATTCTGAAATGTTCTGTGAATACCTTATTATTACCACAAGCTATCACTTTACTTAACCTTCTCATTTGCAGGTCAACAAACAGCGCTGGCAGTTGGCTGCAGCCAAAGCTCTCCGGGCTTCGCGAGAGGCCGCATCAAAGGACGGCATCAAGGCCAAACAGCCATCCAAGCCTGTTGACCTCTACCACGCCAAGCCTGTCGTCGCCCCCAGATTGCCAGCAGCCGTCAGTCAGGAGGCTCCAATAGAGCAGGAGGAACTAAGACGGCGTGACTGGCCAGTGGTGGCCATGACCGCTTCTGCTACCGTGCTGCTCTTTCTTACTCTGTACTACACTCTGGTTATTATGTAAATCACTGGTCATTATCGTCAGTAGAAATCCTTCATGATTCTTTAAAATCAGCAGAATCCCCTCAAAGTCCCCAATCACCAGAAATTTTCATCATTACTGAAAGGTCTGACACATACTAGCGCAATACACGTAGCGGTCAGTGGTGACTTCCGTTGAACATGTTAAAAGTTGAATGAAATTCTTTAGTTGGTAGAACAGTCGAGCATTTTTGTTAACATTTACATGTAGCATGCCCCAAAGCTGAGAAATAATAGTATTCCTGCCTACATCTGAAATCGAATTAGTGCAATATTTTTATATATTGCTGCATCTTCAGAAACTTGTGCGCAATGTGCGGGATTGCCAAGCAGTATTTTTTAACTTGAGGTAGCAAAGATATGAGATTGTATACGTGTATACAATAAAAAATACATCTAAAAGTTCAACATTGCTTATTTTACGAAGTAGCCAGAAGAGGCTGAAATCAATGAAAAAGAAGGGTCCTCTAAGTACAGTTTCCATTTTAGACATGCAAATTAGATAGCATTGGCAGAATAATGTTCAATTTTGTATGACACATCAGACAAACTCTGACGTTTGAAATGGTTACCTCTCAGCCTACTGCCTGTATAAAGTTTTTACTGTATATGGTTTGTAAATTTCTCAAGTTACACTTAAAAATCCTGAATAAAAGCAATTCTGAGTGGTCAGGAATTCATTTAGTTTAAAAATTAGTTTAAACATCAACAATTAGATAATTAACACCAGAATTTGACTTGATCCTGGAGCCCTATAAATTGAAGAGATATGAATACATTAAAACGATTTATTACATGCAAATACGAACGGACCATAGTGTATCTGAAACTCCAAAGGTCAACTACGTAGATAATTTTATTATTGTCTTGAAGTGTAACCGTTTTTTTTTCCTTCGAGAAGTTCTCTCGAATTATTAACAGGTGTCCCCTTTTCGGTGTTATGGCGCCTCAAAATTGTGAAGGTCCGGTATGGATTTCTTCCTGCATTTTGCACCGACAGCAGCTTGTAGGAAATGAAAAATTAACCAAATGTAGGCATGTGTTGTCTGCAGTTCTCTGAATTCAGATCTGATGGCCAGCATTTTAAAGAGACCAAGAATTAAACCTACATTGTACTTCCCTTCTTCAAAGCATTGTGGAAACATGTACATACATGTACAATGTAGGCCCATCGTAAGAAACACATGTAAGTAGCAGGTTAAAGCAAAGGTGAAAAAACCCAGAAATGTTTGGTACACAAAGACTGCACACTGACTTCCAAGTACATGTAAGCTTGTTCCTGATAAAAGGTTCACTTTTGAAAGTAATAGTGTTGATGTGTACATGTACATGTATGTATGTACATGTACATGTACTTTCCACACAAAACAATTTTTAAAAATTTCTCATCCCATTGACAATTCCTCATTTAAACTTCAGGCCTTAACAAGTGGCACATGGAACTAAATTATGCTCAGTACTGGACTTTAAAACTGCCCAAGTAAATGACTTCATTAACATGTAAACTGAATGACATGAATGAACGATATCAAAGCAAAGCCTCTGTAAAATTTGAACATAAATTTTGATTTTAACAAATAAAATGAGAAATTACTGAAATGCAACACTATTGACAAGACACAGTGGAGGCAAAGACAGAAATCTACAGGTGCCCCAACAAAAATGAACATATACAGCACAACAATATTCTGTATTCACAATAAACCTTTCTACATTGAACCAAGAAGGAACAGAGTGCATGGCATTTCCAATGCATTCAGATTTTGCTCTGCTCTAGCTGAGTTTAAAGTTTGATCCAGGTGGGGAAGTGCCTTGCCCCCCAAACTTAACATCCATTACCCCAAAAGGAAACTACCCAAAAACTTCACTGATACGACGGCATGCGTCTGGCCTGAATGGACATTACAAAATGCCTTGTAGAATTAAAGTGATGACAGAAATGTGCAGGCAACTTTGGCTTAACACAAGCATTACAGTTATGAGACAAGAGGAGTATGTTAAATCCCCCCCCCCAATTGTCTCCTTCAAAGACTGCTTCAGTCCGAAATATTTTCCTTGGAGTACACACAGTAAATGCTCTGTAATTTTGTTGATGGGTGATTGCCCTCATGATATGCCAACTACATGTACCTTGACACGTCATCTTAACAGCTGATTCCGAGAGACCATCATCTTCAGGTCATTCAGTAATCCAATCCAAGGACGAGACAAATGTAAGACTTGAGCGCTATCGGTCGACAGTGGTATGCTCTTTCAAAGAAGACGAGGATCCTGACCACACCCCAGGCAGGAAAGCAGGCTTCACTCCCATTCTTGGATTTTGCTGTGTAGTTGGAGGCAATTTTCCAGATTTTACCATCGATTGTCCTGGCTGCTCAATAACCCTTTCTCCCTCTGAATCTTGTCCTTGTGTCCAACTGTCAAATGAACGACATCTGATTTAGACTGACTCACAAAACATACGGGGCATAAGACTTAAAGGGTAGCAGCAATCAATTGGTTTTAAAATACAAACCTTCATAATGCACCTTTGTGTCTCCGTTAACCTTATTTTCAACTTTTGGTTCACTATTTCAAAGGATATTTTACTACCTTTTTGGTTTTAAGCTAATGAGTATTTGCATATTCATGAGCAAAACTGCAATGTCATCCCAGTGAGAAAGCCTCAATGTTACATTGGTTTGTAAACAAAAAAGTCCTGCATTTTTGTAGATTTTGCTGGACTTAGTTTTCTTTGCTGATTCATTTGCTGATTCAATTTAGAAACAAGCATCAACTCCTCTCTCAGAAATATTTTCAGTAAATTCTGGGCTCACAATCTGAACAGAAACACCTATGCACTGGACCACGTCTTCCCTAGATGACTTCACAGCAACAGCGCCCTCGGTTGTCCAGGAAAGCATGGATTATTTGAAATGTTTAAAAGGTGCACTTTTCAATGCCTTTAACCAAACAGGAATGTACAGGAGTTTTCATATGCCGAAGAAGAAGACAAAGTTTAAGAAAAATTGTGTCTAAGAAAAGTTCAATGAAGCTACACTTCAACTGAAAAGCTTGACTACATGCAGATGCTATTGAATGAAATTTCTGCTCACTACTTAAATCGCTTCACGTGTATAGCATTTTACAATTCTTAACAAGATATTTTGTGTTGTTCGTGTTCTCTTTGTTGACTTAACAAATAATTCAAACTGACAAAAAGGAGACAGGATGAGGTTGTGGGACATCAATGATCAACTGTCTACAGCTTTTGGGGAGAAGTCCAAGTGAGTGTCTATGGTAGATGTATGTTTGGGTGAAGTCCGACAGTGTGTGTACAACTATGGGAGGTGGGGAAGGGACAGAGGCCAAGATTTATGAAATATAGAAGGTGTCCTTTCCAATATCCAGTCTACTCCAGCCCCCTGCAGTGACCTGGGCAAAATCTTGCAAGAAGTCTGAACATCTACCACTGTACTCACAAGTGACCTCTTGCATTCAAAGAATGCAACCTGAAGTGCTCGACATTGGTCATTCACATTAGTGCCAGGCTGTAAACATTCTTTGGGTGTTTTCTTGTCCTGAAAAAATGAAAGAAAAACAACAGAAAACTAACAAAATATGAAATACATCGTTGTTACAAGGAATTCATTTCTGTGGCTTCGAAATGTTTGTATTATTTTCCATGCACCTTCATCAACAAATATTGGGTCGTAATTTTGGTTCTATCAGTCTTCAAATGAAACAAGTAAACATGGTAAATACATGTACATGTACTGTCACAAGATGCCAAGTACATGTACATGTATGTATAATGTAATGTATTACATGGTTAGCAAAAAAGGGCTCATATTTAAATGCACATTTGAACTGAAAGTACATGATAATTCCTAGTTCAGGTACTTTCATACATATTTCCCTAAATACATGGTGTATAATTCATATGATTTTATCAAAATCAAGAGAACAGAAACATTTTCCAGCAACAGTGAGTACATGCAGATTGCAATTGGCTATAAAGCAGTTTTCAAACCAAGATCTACACTTTTACACAGTTTTGATTTTTGGACTGTGTTTTCGTGTACATGTAGATTTTTATACAGGTCTACCGCTTTTAAATAATAAAAAATAAATGGAAGAAATGCCCAAACTTAATAAATGGAATGAAGAGGAGAACTCCACAGAACATAGTAATCAAAATGATGACAACAACGCGGTAATAATATTTCGCATTGTTTGTGACAAACTAACAAAAATTCAATTATAAAGGAAAAAAAGTGAGACACTGTTCCAACATACTGCAAGGACTACAATTGATTGACCGTAGGCCTAATCGAGGTTACTCTTCATCTCAAATTGACTATTTTACAACTGTTTTCAATGTATACATTAATTTGTCATTTTTGAGATATACAGCATTCCAAACTAAGCTTACAACACCAAAATTCATGCGTGCATGGAGAAACCTGAAAATAGGACAAGGCTGTTTGATTACAATACAAACAAAAATAAAATATGAATAGAACAGGAAGACAAGGGAAAATTCACAAATTAAGCACAACTGACATTCAAATGTTAATGACGTACAGCTCCCAGACTCCCCGAGCTTACATGTACATGTTAAGCATTTGTCATCACTTGCACTGTGTCATTTTTCAATATAATTTAGGCCTAATTATTATAATAATGCTAATGCACGCCGATGCCTGATCACTGGCACCATGGAGGAAGGAACACTGTGTTCCTTCCTCCATGCTGGCACTAGACCTGCTAGACTGGGCAGACTCACAATTCTGACGCAGTCGCTTTCAAGAAGACATGTCTTCAGATCTTCCCTCACTCCAGAACAAGGTCTTTTAGATTCTTCCTTATCCTCGAAGTATTTTGGCATGATGCAGAATCTCTGTATTTTCACGTGAAAATTCAAATGCTGCACCAAACCTCAACTCATTATACACACATGGGCGCAGCCATCTTTTGTAATAAAATTATTTCAACAGGAAAACACACAAGAAAAAGTCATCTTGGAGTTATTAAAATATGTATAAACCTTTTTGGACAATCATAAAAATAGTTTCACAGAAAGATTTATTTGAACGCACAATCGTATTTTTTCCTGATATTGTTTTACTTTCCAACACGTTTTAGTTCAATATATTGCGGTCGAGGTTCCATCTGCCACGGGAAATGTTCCAACGTACCGACATGTACATTGTACCTGGTTAATGGCTCTGCATCTACTTGACAAGATGTATTTTACACACCATTTAGGGTAAAAGACTGCAGAATATATCCAACCCTTATATCTGTTGTACTCTTTCAGTAAAGTTCACCTGAATTTACAGGTAGGCCGAATATTCTTGTTTATTGCTGACTAACTTTCACATGTATCACCAACGTACGTTACACTTACAGCTTAATGTATTTCGTGAAGAATTATCAACGCCGGCCCGTGGCGCTAGGTGACGTAGGCTACAAGGCTAGGCCCACATCTAGAGGCAGAGCATGGCAGTTGAGTTAGTTGTGTAAACATGTACTGCTTTGAAAGCACATGGAATTTATTTGTAGTTGATGTAGGCCTACATTAGCCCCACTACTATACTAGTGACAGTGTGGCACGGACTCTCACTCCCGATCCATCCTTAGCCACACATCCATATTCGCAATTTCGTGTCGGAATATTGAACATTTTGGCGCACCCACTTATCATCGTGGTTGCAATTTCTTTTGCATACGAACATGATTCTTGACCTTTCCGCTTTCTAAAAACCATTTATTGAATGATTTCACTCATGTTATTCGGGTATTTTCCTTTCTTTTTGCCTTTATTTATTTTGTTCCAAGTCAAGACATATGTAATACACAGACTGAGCGATAAGATACTACATATACCAATGGGCTCTTCCAAAACTTTGGCAGCAGTTTAGATGTCTTAACATGGAAGAGCTGTCAAAACGATGAGGGATCAAGTGACGTAATGTTCAACGACCTTATTTCAAAGATGGCGACTGTGAAAGCGAGCCCGTTAGATTGAATGGATAAAGGCAAAAAGACTGGAAAATACCCAAATAGTGTGAATGAAATCATTCAATTAATGGTTTTTAGAAAGCGGAAAGGTCAAGAATCATGTTCGTGTGCAAAAGAAATTGCGCCCACGATGATAAGTGGGTGCACCGAAATGTTCAATACGCCGACACAAAATTGCGTATACGGATGTGTGGCTAAGGATGGATCGGGAGGAGAGTCCGTGCCACACTATTAGTGGGGCTAGGCCTACGTATAATTTACATGTACTGTACTTTTTTGTACTAGCCTAATTTAATTAACCCCAAAGCCTGAACACTGTCATGACTGTCAGTGCCATGCCACAGTGGCGGTGTCATGTACATCTATCAAGACAGTGCCATTTATAGCCCATGTCTTTCATGAACTATAGGCCTATCTGTAGGCCTAGTGCTACATGTCCTAGGCCTACAGGCTGCATGTCACATGTAATTTAGAAAATTTGAAGAAAAAAGTAACAGTTCATGACAGTTTAAAGGCAGTCAGTAGGCCTGGAT